CCTGCTGAATCCTTATGTCTAGATTACCAGATCGATCGGAATTTCGATATTGTACTCTGTTCCTGTTAGAAGGATACAAATGTGTTTAAAATTAATCTCTCTTTTGTTCATTCTTTCTCTCATTGTCTTTTACCTCATTAGCGGAGGTAGATTTACAAATTTTTTTAAAACGATTCGAATGGTTAATAAAATTTTACAACTGGGTTTGGTATAGGTTGCTGTCATTCAGCTTCGAGGGCTGCCGACAAAATTTGAAAACCGTCTTTGGGTGATTCCGTACTTTTCTTTTCAAAATATGGTGCTTTTTACCAACTTCGATGAACTCCCGAGTTTCCGAGCTTCTGAAATTTCTAGTTTCTATACTGTGGTGTTTCGTACGGGTTTCGAGTTCTAAGTTGGTGCCTTGTTTCAGTCCTTTTTGGTTATTTCTTAGTTTTTCAGAGATCAAGCTTTCATGTCTGCAAGATTAAGACTTGGGTTTGTTCTTTTTTCAGGTTGCGCCGTAACGGACAATTGCTGAACATAAAGAGCACCGTTGAAATCCTTGGTGAGGAAGAGTCCTTGTAATAAGTGATGGCTATACTACAGATCTTGTTCAAGAAAGTATTGGGTTTCTGTTAATGTTCATATTGCATTGCCCTTGAGTTGAAAGTTTGGGAAATGGCAAGAGGTAGGAGGAGGTCGAAGCTAAGGCTGAGCCATCTTTACACTTTTGGATGTCTTAGGCCGAGCGCCGTTGAGGGTGAAGAACCTCATCCTTTACAAGGTCCGGGGTTCAGCCGAGTGGTGAATTGCAATCAGCCTAATCTGCATAAGAAGAAACCTTTAAGATATCGTTCTAATTATGTCTCCACGACGAGGTATAATTTGATCACTTTCTTTCCAAAGTCCCTTTATGAGCAATTCCACCGAGCTGCCAATTTCTACTTCCTGGTAGCTGCCATTCTCTCGGTGTTTCCTCTCTCGCCCTTCAACAAATGGAGCATGATTGCCCCTTTGGTGTTCGTTGTGGGGCTTAGTATGTTAAAGGAGGCTTTGGAAGATTGGCGTAGGTTTATGCAAGATGTGAAGATAAATGCACGTAAAGTGAATGTTCATAAAGGCGATGGTGTTTTTCGTCGTAGAAAGTGGAAGAAGGTTAGGGTTGGTGACATTGTGAAAGTGGAGAAGGATGAGTTCTTCCCCGCCGATTTGCTTCTATTGTCATCGAGTTACGAGGACGGGATTTGCTACGTTGAGACTATGAACTTGGATGGCGAGACAAACCTGAAAGTGAAAAGGTCGTTGGAAGTAACCTTGCCTCAAGATGACGATGAATCTTTCAAGAATTTCAGGGCAACGATAAGATGTGAAGATCCAAACCCCAATCTCTACACCTTTGTCGGTAACCTAGAATATGAACGGCAGATCTTTTCTCTGGATCCGATTCAGATTCTCTTAAGAGATTCAAAGCTTAGGAATACAGCCTATGTTTATGGAGTTGTGGTATTCACAGGTCATGATACTAAAGTCATGCAGAATTCAACGAGGTCACCTTCGAAAAGGAGCAGAATCGAGAGGACAATGGACTATATCATCTACACTCTTCTTGTCCTACTCATTCTGATCTCTTGTGTCAGTTCATCGGGATTTGCTTGGGAGACAAAATTTCACATGTCAAACTGGTGGTATTTACGTCCTGATGAGCCGGAGAACTTAACCAATCCAAGCAATCCTATTTACGCTGGCGTTGTCCATCTGATCACTGCCCTTCTGCTTTACGGATATTTGATACCCATCTCTCTCTATGTTTCGATCGAGGTTGTAAAGGTCTTGCAAGCAACTTTCATCAATCAAGACCTGCACATGTATGATAATGAAAGTGGAGTCCCTGCACAAGCACGTACATCGAATTTGAACGAAGAGCTAGGACAGGTGCATACCATCCTTTCAGACAAGACAGGAACTTTGACATGTAACCAGATGGATTTTCTGAAGTGCTCTATTGCTGGTACTTCCTATGGCGTGCGTTCCAGCGAAGTCGAACTTGCTGCTGCGAAGCAGATGGCTATTGACCTCGAAGAGCAGGGTGGAGAAATATCAAGTACTCCAAGGGCTCAAACTAAAGCGTACGATTCATGGGACAGCAGCCGGGGAAGACAAGAAATTGAGATGGAGAGTGGCATAAATCACGAAGGCGATAATAATCCAAGAACTCCTATAAAGGGGTTTAGTTTTGAGGACGTAAGACTCATGAATGGGAATTGGTTTAGGGAACCGCAAGTAAGTGATATTTTGATGTTCTTTCGGATATTAGCTATTTGCCATACGGCCATTCCTGAGTTGCATGAGGAGACTGGCAAGTATACCTACGAAGCAGAGTCACCTGATGAAGCTGCTTTTCTTGTTGCTGCAAGAGAGTTTGGTTTCGAGTTCTTCAAGAGAACCCAATCGAGCGTTTTTGTTCACGAAAGGTACTCTTCTTCCGGGCAAACAATCGAAAGGTAATTATAAATATATACTGTCTTATATTGTACCTTTTCGTAATGCCTTCACACCTTTCCTTTAAGCAAATCGTGATTGAGTACCGGAAAAAATGCAGGGAGTATAAAGTTTTAAACTTGTTGGACTTTACTAGCAAAAGAAAGCGAATGTCTGTGATTGTACGTGACGAGGATCAGCAGATTCTTCTACTATGCAAAGGAGCTGACAGGTTAGCCCCAACTCAAAACTTTTAGGCATCAAATCATGTAACATGATTATAAGTTTGAGATGTATATATCAACAGCTTAGTATCTTTTGTACCGGGCAAGAAGCCAATGAAGATAATATTGTTTGGTGTCTGTCATTCATTTGTGTAATGCAATCCTATACTTGAAAATTTTGCAGCATCATCTTTGACCGGTTAGCGAAAAATGGGCGGACATACTTGACACCTACCGCTAAGCATTTAAATGAATATGGAGAAGCTGGGCTACGTACACTGGCACTTGCTTACAGAAAGATCGATGAGGATGAATATTCAGCTTGGAACGCTGAGTTTCTTAAAGCCAAAACTTCAATAGTTTCTGATAGAGATGCACTGCTTGAAAGGGTATCCGATACGATCGAAAGAGAGCTCATCCTTGTCGGTGCTACTGCTGTTGAGGACAAACTGCAGAAAGGAGTATGTATTCCCCTGCTTTGACAGACACTTTAGTTCACCCTTTTTTTTTCTGTTTTTTATGTCAATTTAATTTCGTTTCCATTTTCTGTAGGTTCCACAATGCATAGATAAGCTTGCTCAAGCGGGTCTCAAATTATGGGTTTTGACAGGGGACAAGATGGAAACCGCCATCAACATCGGGTTAGTACCTATACTTTGGATGTAACCAAGAAATGAGTAAACTGCTATACCGAAACAAAAATTTGATGATTAAACTGCTCGCTGTGGTGGACTGCAGATTCGCGTGTAGTTTACTCCGGCAAGGCATGAAACAGATCTGCATAACAAGCATGAATTCAGATGGAGGATCCCAAGATTCCAATGGGGTATGTATTGCAACGAAAGAGGATTTATGGTCAGGTGATCGTTAAAGAACTTAGTTAGGCTTCTTGAAAGAAGGCCGACGCGTTAGATCTATGAGTTTAGAGTGCTTTTGAGAGAAGGTGCAATTGATTCTGGTGTGATCTCCCACCTAACTAAAATCTGAAATTCATTTTCCATTTCCACCATTGGATCAGGCCATTAAGGAGAATATCTTGAATCAAATCACGAATGCTTTACAAATGGTCAAGCTGGAGAAGGATCCACATGCTGCCTTTGCTTTAATCATTGATGGGAAAACTCTAACTTATGCTTTGGAGGATGATATGAAGTATCAGTTCCTTGCATTGGCAGTAGATTGTGCATCAGTCATTTGCTGTCGTGTCTCTCCCAAGCAGAAGGCCTTGGTATATTTCCTTTTTCCTTTGTTTTTCTTTCTCTAGCATTTATCATTCAGCTATATAACTCGTAAACACATATTTCAAGTAATAATGATAAACAAGTTTAATGCCTGTTCTCAGACTGGGGTATCAGACTGAATAGGAATAGATGAAATGAAGTATCAACGAGAACTGCTGTGTTCCAAACTTCCACATAGATTCTTACATCTAAAGATTCGATTTTTCTTCTGTTATTTATCGTCTGTTTCATCTTTCTGTACAAAGGTAACAAGGTTGGTAAAAGAGGGAACTCAGAAAACAACATTAGCAATCGGTGATGGTGCAAATGATGTTGGAATGATTCAGGAAGCTGACATTGGTGTAGGCATTAGTGGGGTGGAAGGTATGCAGGTCAGTGTTCTCTCTTCCCATTAGACACCCGAGAATGCACATTTCCCGAATAATTTTGTGTTTGTAGAGCTGTTACTTCTGATATAGGCTAAGTTTCATCTCCATATTATTCATGAGTGGCAAGTGAATTGACTCGCCCATCTCAACATTTTTGCTGAATCTCTCATTCTTGTGCAGGCTGTTATGGCTAGTGATTTTTCTATTGCACAGTTCCGGTTTCTGGAAAGACTCCTCGTCGTCCATGGACACTGGTGCTACAAAAGAATCGCTCAAATGGTAAATATATGCTTGTGCGCCTTTGTTACACAGTTTGCTTACAAGACGTCTATATTTGTAAACATCCTATTCTACTCTTAACATAGCAGACCATCGGTTCTAATATATATGTTTTTCTGCTTCCAGATTTGCTACTTCTTCTACAAAAACATAGCATTTGGTCTCACTCTCTTCTACTTTGAAGCATTTACTGGATTTTCTGGCCAATCAGTATATAATGACTACTACCTGTTACTCTTCAACGTTGTCCTTACCTCGCTGCCAGTGATTGCGCTTGGAGTCTTTGAACAAGACGTTTCCTCCGAGATCTGCTTGCAGGTGACTTTCATTACAGTTTGCCTTGACAAGTAAATCATGAAGCTCTACTTGATCTTCTCTCATGCACAAATTTTTTTCTTGTCCTACAGTTTCCAGCATTATACCAACAAGGGACAAAAAACTTGTTCTTTGACTGGTATCGAATACTGGGGTGGATGGGCAATGGTGTTTATTCCTCTCTTGTCATATTCTTCCTCAACATTGGAATTATTTATGAACAAGCTTTCAGAGCCGGTGGCCAGACAGCTGACATGGATGCTGTCGGTACAACCATGTTTACTTGCATCATATGGGCCGTGAACGTGCAAATTGCTCTAACGATGAGCCATTTCACTTGGATCCAACACGTCTTAATCTGGGGAAGCATCGGTTTGTGGTATCTGTTCGTTGCTTTATACGGGATGATGCCACCGAGTCTTTCTGGAAACATCTATAGGATTCTTGCTGAAGTTCTTGCTCCTGCGCCCATATATTGGTCAGCCACATTGTTAGTCACAGTGGCAACTGTTCTTCCATACTTCACTCACATATCTTTCCAGAGATTCTTGAACCCATTGGATCATCATATCATTCAAGAGATCAAATACTACAAGAGAGATGTCGAGGATGCAAGAATGTGGACCCGAGAACGCACAAAAGCACGGGAGAAAACAAAGATCGGATTCACAGCAAGGGTTGATGCCAAAATCAGGCATTTGCGGTCGAAGCTCAATAAGAAACAGTCGAATATGTCTCATTTTTCAACTCAAGATACAATGTCCCCGAGATCATTGTAGCTTCCGGCATCTGGATTCTTCAGAAATCTCTCTCAAGAGTGTTCTTGGATACTTTTCTTCAGGCTCATCCTCTAGCTGGTTTGGACACAGATGTTCATCAGAGACAGAGCTTGATGCTGTTGTGTGTACACTTGAGGAAAAGAGAAAAAAAAAAGGAAAGGGAGTTAAGGGAGAGTTGCAGTGAGCGTGTAAGAGTGGTTGATGTTTCTCTGTTGGGGTTTTGCTGAAAATCTTTTTTTTTTTTTAACTTTCAGACTTTGTGTCAATAACATACTATACATAGGTTTTGTGAATAGTTAGGACAAAATGAAACATAATATACAGCATCAACATCAAACATTTTTATGTCTCATTTTATGTTTTGGCATTGAATTGGCCTATTAATGAGCCATGGATGTGTGTGTCTTGGCCATGACAATTAATGTATTATTTTTATTCATTGACTGATTCTAGTTCTAGGTAATATAATCTTATTTATATATTATTTCTATGAGTATCATAAAATCTTATCATTTTTAATGAAATATTTTCCCAATAATGAAAGATTTTACTAAATTATTTTGGTTAATAATAATAATAGATTTGAAACCTAAATCCATTCATCTATTGTATTTAAGAAGATTTAATGAATAAAAAATGAAAAGCTGTTATGAAAATAAATTATTTTAATATTTTTGAAAATTAATCACTTGTAGATATGGATGTATAAAGAAACTCTAAGATCGTATGATTAAATTAAATTTTAGCCCCTTTTCCGGTTTTTTTCCTTTTTTTTTTTAAATTTTCAGTTATTTATTTTAATAGTTTTACTTAAAACAAATATAAATATATACATGCTAAAATCTCTCTATACTAAACTGGGCCCGGTTTAGCCTAACCATGGTTAATCTCGGCCCATATAAAATATCTAAATCTAACCACTCCATAATTATTTGTCTTCGATGTTTCCTTTTCTTTTTAAGAATAAATAAGAAAATATGGAGAGGGTTTTTGTTCTCCGTTTCCTCTCTCTTCATCAATCTCTTCGCTGCGTAGAAGAGCGCTGAAACTTTGTCACCCGAAGTCAATCGGAATCCATCACCGCTTCTTGCTTGCATCTGTTTGATTCGGCTCAACTCTCTGGTATTCGTATTTTAAACGAATTACTCTCCGGCTCCAATCTCGATTTCTCGTCGCTTTTTCTCCGTTTGGATTCTCGCCTTTTCCCGGAAATTCTCGTACTTTCTCCCTCCCCGTCGGAGTTTTGTGCTGGAGACGGCAGTTTGGTTGGTGGGTTTCGGCGTTCGGCGGTTGAGGTGTTTTTCTAGGGTTACTAGCTTTCCATTTGATGGAGCCGCGGGTGGGGAACAAGTTTCGGCTTGGACGGAAGATCGGCGGTGGATCTTTCGGAGAGATCTATCTCGGTATGCGCTTGAATTTTTCTGCTTTAGACTCTTGAGTGTGGTTTCTGTGGAACTTGATGGCTGTTTAACGTGTGATCCCTTGGATGATGTTTGAAGGCACCAATATCCAGACGAATGAAGACGTCGCGATTAAGCTTGTAAGTGTTTTGCGTGTTTTGGTTGTTGAACTGGAAATTTGCCTGTTTTCAGTGATAATTGAAGTAATTCCAGTGTTATTTTGTTAATGTGAAGGTGATCCTTGCATTTTGGCATATCCTCATTAGATATGAATGCTTTCTGAAGGGAAAAGAGGGCATACATTTTGTAGCATGTGTCTGCAATTTTCTTATTTGTAGCTTCTTCCTGTTTCCGTTTGAAGAGAAAGTTACTGTGGAGAAACTAAGAGTACTAATCATATGGTAATAAAACATCAATTTACGGTCTTGGGACAGAAAAGACACATGGGAAGCAATAAGCTTTGAGTGTCAGCATTTAGCTAAGCAGTAACGCTGTTTCAGTTCTAACCTTGTGAATGTGACATGTATCAATCCATTCTGGTGCCTAGACATGTATCAATTCATTCTGGCTTTCTGTTGCTTCTAACATCTGCTTTTTGCATCTTCTGTTGGTGTTGTCTACTTCCTGTTTCTTTTGGCATATCTTCTGACAACTTCTCTTTTTCTCAGGAAAATGTAAAAACAAAGCATCCTCAGTTGCTGTATGAATCCAAATTGTATAAAATATTACAAGGAGGAAGTAAGAACCTAGTTCTATGCTTGTTTACATTTCCAATGTGATTTTTTCTTGTTCTTATTCAAGAGGTTTGCTTTTCTTTCCCTTGCTTTTAGCTGGCATTCCGAACGTAAAATGGTATGGTGTTGAAGGGGACTATAATGTCCTTGTGATAGACTTGTTGGGGCCTAGTCTCGAAGACTTGTTCAATTTCTGTAGTAGGAAACTCTCACTAAAGACTGTGCTAATGCTTGCAGATCAAATGGTAGACCCCTTTCATTGAGTAAATAGTTTTCTCGCAGTGATATGGATGAATTACCATAATTTTGCTATATTATTATTCCTCTTCTCAGATCAATCGCATTGAATTTGTTCATTCAAAGTCATTTCTCCATCGGGACATCAAGCCTGACAACTTCCTCATGGGTCTGGGGAGGCGTGCAAATCAGGTTATTGTTTGAAAAGGGTTGTTTGGATTTGTTTCCTCTCCTGGTTTATTTGCTTAAATTAGTCTTTGCCCAATGCAGGTGTATATCATTGACTTTGGTCTGGCAAAGAAGTACAGAGACACTACAACTCATCAACATATTCCTTACAGGTTGGCTGTGGCTTTGTTATTTTCCTCTATGAGAGATTCTGTTCTAATCAAGTAATGATACTTGAATAAGTTTTGTGTTCTTGGTTCGGGGCTAGTAAAAATTTTTATAATCGTAGTGTGCATTGTGTTGTCTTTTTATCTAATCTCCTGCACATATCTCAGGGAAAATAAGAACTTGACTGGAACTGCTCGATATGCAAGCATGAACACTCACCTAGGCATTGGTATGAACCTAATTCTGGTTCCTATTTTAAAGACAACTTGACTTGAACTTTTATTTTCTCTTACAACTTTAAAGAACCTAATTCTAATTCCTATCGTTAATTATGTTACAGAACAAAGTCGTAGAGATGATCTGGAGTCCCTTGGATTTGTTCTCATGTACTTCTTAAGAGGAAGGTGTCTATTTTTCCTTCCATCACTGTTACGAGCGGTTCTTTGTAAGGCTGCCGGTTTACTTACCCATTTGCATATAGTCTTCCTTGGCAGGGACTCAAAGCTGGCACAAAGAAGCAAAAGTATGAGAAAATCAGTGAAAAGAAAGTATCAACCTCTATTGAGGTAAAACTGTCTCTGAGAGCCATCCTGGCGAGTGTGATTGACAATACTGATATCATACTTTTTCTTCTTCTAGGCTCTATGTCGGGGGTATCCCTCAGAATTTGCATCTTACTTCCATTACTGCCGGTCCCTGAGATTTGACGACAAACCAGACTATGCTTACCTGAAACGACTCTTCCGTGACCTATTTATCCGTGAAGGTCTGATTTCTCAAATCAGCTTGGTTGTTCTGAGACTGATGAAGGGGATACAAAAGTTACTTGTATAGATATGAAATGAAACCAATCAAGCTTTTTGAGATTTGAACTCACCATTCAGGCTTCCAGTCTGATTATGTAATTTGAACAATATCAAGTCAGCTTTTTTGTTATGACTGGTGAAACTGATTCAAAAGTTATATATACATTTTTGAAACCGATCAAGCTTTTTGAGATTTGAACTCACCCCTCTATGTCGCTTATGTTTCAGGATTCCAGTTTGATTACGTATTTGATTGGACAATCTTGAAGTATCAGCAATCACAGATTGCCACTCCTCCCCGTCCTCTTGTAAGTATCATGGTGTTGAACAAAAGTTATTTGACATTTTGAATGTTTTAACTTTTAATTATGTTTCTGATTGATCGAACATGTACTTTTTCCAATGGATTTTGCAGGGTCCTGGAGTGGGGCCAAGTTCTGGCCAACGTCCTGTTATTGCTAGCGCTGAGAAGCAATCAGGTGGTTCTACTTTACTGATTTAGTTTTGGTTTGGGTGTAATATACATGTCTCTTTCTGTCAATAATTTTTTTTTCTCTTTATGTTGAGGGTTTTATGTTTGCTTCCAGCCCTGTAACGAAGGGAACGGAAGATAAAGTATTCAATTGCGCATGTAAAGATGAGTCGTCTGTTCTTGGAGATGTGACTTGCACCCTTTTGACTTTATCTTTGCTGCCTCCTTGTTCCACCGCAGGTGATGAGGAAGCTAGACCTGGCTGGTCATCAGGAGATCGTAGATGCAGTTCGGGCCAAATTTTAAACTCTGGAAGCATATCCAAACAAAAAGCTCCAGTTTCAACTGATCCTGCCCTTTCTAAAGATGTAATGGTGAGTAACCAATCCTCCATGTTGTTGATGTCCATGCTGTTTACTCTGATCATTAGTTGAATAAGCTCTTGGCAAGTCGTTCCTTACCAAGGTGGGTGGAGTGATGAAAACGAGGAATGGGTTTTACACAAGGGCTTGCAGTTGAATTTTTATTTATCATTCTGAGAGATTTATGTTTTCTTATGTCTGAATATATTCTCTGGAGATCTTGTTACTGATCTGTATATTGATTGCATGTGCAGTTATCTAGCTCCAGCTTCCTGCGTGCAAGTGGGTCATCAAGACGTGCGGCTATGTCAAGTGGCCGGGAGGCTGCTCTTGTGGGAACCGACTCTGAGCCTTCTAACCCTCAAGTCCCCGAAGCTGGCTCGGGCTCTCACCCAAGGATCCATGGTGGTCGAAGTTCACCTATTGTCTCAACTGAGAAGAAGCTTTCACCTTCAGGAAGAAATGCTACTTCTGTCATTAAGAACCATGAGTCCAATCTCAAAGGCATTGAGAGCCTCCATTTTTAGTGGCTCGGGACGAAGATCATCTTAAACTCCCGGGACCGAAATGTATATTCGAAACTAAAAAGATACAAAAAAAAAAAAAGACGAGTAACTTTCTCATAGGCTCCCGGAGGGAGAAATACTTTTCTATGTGTATTGTTGTGTTTACAGGGAGGAGGGAGGCAGCCAAAGTTGCAAAGCAGTGCCCAGAAGAACGAGGAGGAAAAAAAAAAGAGAACGAGAAGTGAATTTGCCCGTGAAGAAAGAAGACGAACTTTAACGGCGAAAATTTACTCTGGTTAGGGTGTAAAAAGATGAGTAACTCACCGTTCATTTCTACTGCTTTGTTTGGCTTCTTACTGGTTGTGTTGTGTGTTGCTTTTCATTGTCCTAAGTTAAATGTGATGTGTGTCAAGCAACAGCCATTTGATATAGGGTGCAAAAAGCATTTTCATGCTTATCATTTCTTTTTCTTTTTTCCCCCATAATTTTCGATTTGAATGCGTTCAGCAATTTTACCTAATGGCATGAACAAGAAGAGGGCTCAGGCCATCAAACTCTAATTTTGCATACAAATTGATGGTTAAGGAACCTAAAAAAGAACGTATACAATTAGTCAGAATTGATACAAATTTAATCAAGCTATGATTACAGCATCAGAATCAGATTCTTCCTCACTCACAGAATGCTGGATACAGCACACGGTCTGATGAGCTTCAGGCCAAGAGCACCACCTCTCCCCCAGAACCTGCAAACACATAATAACCCGAAAATTCGGTCATCTAAATACCAAGATTTTACTATTCTGTGATGGAAGAAGAAGAATACGAGAACGAGAAAAGGAGGGATCGATCTATGATGATGAAGCATTTACATCGTTCGTGTATCTCTTTCGCAATCTCTAGAAAGACTTCAGTGTCTTCTGCAATTCTGGTCATCCTCTCCAACTCTTCCATTGCTCCTCTGGCCACATCCACTTTGTTCTCTGCCTCTACCACCTTATAGGCCGCCGTTATTGCAGCTTCCTCCACCATCTCCTGAGTAACAGTTGTATTACTCTGACTGTTGGATTGTCGAGGTTTGAGATTGGTGTCTTTCTGCCTCGGGGCCGGTGTTCTTGTTCCAGATGGATCACTTATCTTATAGAAGTTCTGCACCTGTATGTGTTGGTTTCCCAAAAAACCGCATGAGAAAAACATGAAAAAAAAAGGCTTTACAGAACAAAAATATGACACCGTAAAGTGGAAATTTTCAGACATCAAATGTTCTTGCGCATAAACATAGAATGTTGCACATCAAGAGAAAATGAGAAAATACCGTACATAAAAGGAGAAAAACTGAGGAGAGAAAATGATCGATGTAACAAACGAGTGTTTCAAACCTTACAAATACTAAATAGCTAACCTTTTCAAGTTTGCCCTGAGCAGCGAGCCTCCTCAATCTTGAACCAAGGATCCTTCTAAAATTTAGCGGCAACTCATGCCTTTTCTGTTATATTCAAAGTGAACTGTAATTATACAAAGTATACTAAAATTATACAAATCCACATTGTTTCTTGATCCATGAGAATGTCATTGTCACCACTCCCAATTTATATATGGTGGGTCTCTAAAAATGTTCTCACTAATACATGTTAAACAGCAAAGAATTATTCAACTAACCTCAATGAAGCTGAGAATAGCAGTGATATCAGATCCATTTGCGTCAGATAAGGCTGAAAGAGCTTCAAATATCATCCCATCGTACCTAAGAAAATAATCACCACAGCAAGCATTGAACAATGCAACAATGAGTTCACTAAAAGATTAGTACATCGTATCAAAAGAACATCATTTAAGGGACTTGTGCATCAACAAAGCATTGGCCACTTCAACCAAGAGAAGAAAAAAAAATTAAGACAAACCTGGGAGCATTTTTCGCGTCCACGGCAATATTTAAAGAGTTGTCATCCATGCTCAAATCAGAAGACGCACTACGTGGAAGGGATGCAGCTGGGGAAGGGTTAATATTGGTGGTTGCAGTACTGGCAGCGGCAGCAGCTGCTGTAATGGTGAGTAACCAATCCTCCATGTTGTTGATGTCCATGCTGTTTACTCTGATCATTAGTTGAATAAGCTCTTGGCAAGTCGTTCCTTACCAAGGTGGGTGGAGTGATGAAAACGAGGAATGGGTTTTACACAAGGGCTTGCAGTTGAATTTTTATTTATCATTCTGAGAGATTTATGTTTTCTTATGTCTGAATATATTCTCTGGAGATCTTGTTACTGATCTGTATATTGATTGCATGTGCAGTTATCTAGCTCCAGCTTCCTGCGTGCAAGTGGGTCATCAAGACGTGCGGCTATGTCAAGTGGCCGGGAGGCTGCTCTTGTGGGAACCGACTCTGAGCCTTCTAACCCTCAAGTCCCCGAAGCTGGCTCGGGCTCTCACCCAAGGATCCATGGTGGTCGAAGTTCACCTATTGTCTCAACTGAGAAGAAGCTTTCACCTTCAGGAAGAAATGCTACTTCTGTCATTAAGAACCATGAGTCCAATCTCAAAGGCATTGAGAGCCTCCATTTTTATTGGCTACCAGGAGCAACACTCAAGTTACGCCACTTATCCTATAAAGTGAGTGAAACCCAGATAATTAAAGATTCTTGATCATTCGTCACCAAGTAAAAGACAACAGAGCAAGACAGTGAGAATAGTCGATCCTAAAGAGGTAAAAGAAATGATAGACAGTATTGTTCTTTGGACATAAAGTTCCAGTTCACCCGTGCTTGCTCTATGTTCAATATTGTGTGAAATTTGAAGCAGCCAGAGAGCACCCATAAGTTCTCTCTGTAAATTTCCAGGCATCAACAACTACCATTATTGATAAGAAGAGGTAACATCCATCACAGGTGAAAGGTCGAGTAAAACCGAGCTTTCACATAGCAGAACCCAACCCAATAAACCTTATCATTAGTGAATCACTGTTTCAGGCCTGAATGAAATGCACAAGGAGAGAAGAATGTAGATTCCAGCCTTACTATCTCGCACTTGATGGACAGGAAGGTATCTTTCTAGAAAAACTTCTAAGGCCATCATAACTGATGTCACACTCTACCACTATTTTTCTGTAACCAAACAAATTCTCTCATCTAGGGTAATAACAACGCTTCGTCTCCGGCGAACACAAGATTATGTAGCAGAAATCGAGCATAATACCTAACCAAAGTAACTACTTGAGAGCCTCAGATGAAAACCAAAGTGCAAACACAATCTATCAGCATAAATGTGTCAACTTAACTTCAACAGATCTAGAAAGAACCACTAGAAACATAACTACCCAAAAGGGCAATGGCTTACAATGGTAAATTTCCTTTTCATCGAGAAAACTTGTCGATGAAACAACTGTAACATCGACATCATCCATGCCACTAACCAAGAAACTAAAAAGAAGCACAAGATGAGGAATATTAGTGCGTAATCAGTTAATCTTCTAAGCGTGGAAGCATATCATAATCACAAAAACGATTGCAGAAAGAGCAAGTACAAACCATCAAACTCTCAAACAAAATTAGCAACTTAATCCAAAAAATCGCAACCCTAGGCATTAGGCAATTAGATTCTCCTGCCTGAAAACACTTTCCAGGTAATTTCACAAACCAAATCAAACTCAAAACTCCTCAACTCAATCCCAAATAATCAAGCACCAACCATCAATCCCTAGTGTGCCTCGAAGTCGATACCTAGGGTTTTCTACGTTAGTAACCCTCGGCCGAAGAAATCAAAAAACAGTGGAAAAAAAAAGCGAGCGGAGCAAGAAAAAACAGACCTTGAGGTCGATGTTGGAGCGATGAGTGAGCTGAGAAGAGAAATCAGGATCCCGGAGAATGTTCTTCCACTTGCCGGGACCGTGCTTGGCAACTCCGGCGAGCAACGCCTCCTCCTCCTCCGCCGTCCATTTTTGCTTCTGGTTTCCCATTGCTGTGCGTCTGTGTACGCACGACAATCTACTCTATTATTATCGGAGACGATGACGATTTCCGCTGCTGGCCTTCTTCTTGTTGGATATATACACAGACAACCTCAACGCAGGCCGTAGAGCGAATTTGGGATGTAATTTCAATTTCACAATACAAGTCAATTTTTCCTAATAAACCTCAGAAATACAAATACGTGGCTAACATTACAAAACTTTGAAAGATATAGGGTTACATTAGTATTAGATAAAAGTTGTGGGGCCGAATTCGAATTTGTCTCAACGAAATAATAAAGAAGAATATTCTACGAACCCTAAAATCATCGGAGGCATCCCACGATCGATCTCCCTCTCTCCCTACCACCAATCCCTAACCCTAAACCTACGAGAAGATCTCTTTCCTTCTCCAATGGCGGCCAACCACAGCTCCGACCATGAATCCGATCAAAGTACGCGCCTTTACAACCCTTACCAGAACTACGAGCTCCCTGTCAAAGCACAGTACCTCTACAAGCTTCCTACTTCGCCGGAATTTCTCTTCACTGAGGAGTCTCTCCGTCAGCGACGATCCTGGGGTGAGAATCTCACGTTCTACACCGGTACGGCTTACCTCGGTGGCTCCATCGCCGGCGCTTCCACCGGATTCTACTCTGCCGTCAGGAACTTCGAGTCTGGCGACACGACAAAGCTGAAAATTAACAGGATTTTGAACTCCTCGGGTCAATCAGGTCGCGCATGGGGCAACCGTTTAGGGGTTATTGGGTTGATGTACGCGGGGATCGAGAGCGGCGCCGTGGCGGCGACAGATAGGGACGACGTGTGGACGAGCGTTGTGGCGGGTCTCGGGACCGGAGCGGTTTACAGGGCGGCGCGTGGGATGAGGTCTGCGGCGGTGGCCGGTGCTCTCGGCGGATTAGCAGCGGGGGCTGTGGTGGCGGGGAAGCAAGCCTTGAAGCGGTATGTGCCCATATGAAGAACGGTGGCGGAGGTTGCTAAAGTGAGCCCAATTGAGAGACTTGCTGTTGTTGGAAAATTTTGTTAGGGAGATGGAGAATTTGTAGGGCATCTGTCTGGCTCGGAAGGGAATCATAAAAATGATAGCTTGTGGTTTCTAGGGGTATAGCTTCTGATGTCATAAAGCTCAGCGTGTTTGATGAATTTCTTGGGATCCTTTATATTTATACTGAAAAGGTTTTATCCGGTCAGTATTTGATCTCCATGTGTGTTTGCCTATAGTTTCTGATTGTTGGACTTCCTTGCTGTCATATTGGTTTTTTGTTATGTGTTGTAGCAGGTGCTTGTTTGTGTATTTCTCCGGTACACTTGAATGTTGTATCAGATTAATTCAGGTGAAATGGCTGTCATTTCCTGCTGGCGGAATTGCTTGTTTCCAAGTTTCTTTCTTTTTCTAAACAGGAATGGTTTAGTGTGTTCATGTGCTACATGATTGTCCATCTGTGATCTCCGACTCGTCGATGTGGAGGTTTCAGTTGATATTTGATGGCTATGTAGATCCCATTGACATCTCAGGGCGTTAGCTTTTCTCCTATGTATTCTTATTACTTGTTATGGATCATTTATGTCAATGACGCAGTGTGCTGATCGGGAGCTTGAACTCCCAATCCCATGATACTTGACTTCTTGGTACCTATTTCATCTTCTCAGTTTCTTACCTCCCCGGACTCTCCTCTGTGCCGAGCTCTTGTCTGTGAAAGATTGCAGAACGTCGCCTGATATAATCTCCTGAAGATGACGTATTGAATCTGCTTTTAACTTTTGTGCTTCCTTTGGTATGGGATATTCTTTAGCAATTTCACCTTGTAGTGAGTATCACATTTGTGACCGATATCTCTATCGATGGTTGCAATGGTTGTGGGGACCTTTTCATGGTTGCTTTACATTTTACTATGGTCAATTGTACTTATTTCATTTCACCATCTGGAATTTGTTGCTGTTGCAGATCTGTATACTAAGCTTCTTCTGTGCTTTTACTGTTTTGATTTGTGCATAGTGTTTTATGAAACTGAGAAATATAACAACAATTGATAGTATAGTTATAACAGTTATTCTCTCATAGTCTAGATTGTATGTCAGGGGAAGAAATTGAATTTGATCATGCATCAAAAGAATGTGTTTTATTCACAAAACAGTTCTTCCTGAGAAGTGTTTCATATACAAGATGCTAAGGGGCAATTTGAATGTAATTGATTCCTACACTAGGTGAGCTTATCCATCCGAGTCAAGGATGAGGAGCAAATCATGAATGACAAACAACTTCCATTGCTGTGGGTGGTGGTGTTTGATCTTGCAGCTCGCATCCGGCTTGGTAGGGAACAAAACCGGGTTCTCAAACTAAGCAAGCTCGCCATTGATCTAAGGTATAACCACCGTCGCTTCAAGTTGATCTACGTCGAATTTCTATTTTTGTGTCAATAGGATTTTCTCATTCCTTCCTCTTTCTACATGGTAGAGACATGATTGAAAGAGT